GCCGGGGAGATGGCTCAGTGGAATAAGCGCTTCCCTGGCAAGCCCAAGGGCCTGAGTTCAATCCCCGCTTCTGCCAAATAAAAAAACAAATAAATAAATTAATTAATTAAAAATTTAAAAAAATAAAATAAAAAAGTTAAACTGAGTTTCCTTTGTACAGTGGTACCTCGGTTCATGAGCTAAATTCTTTCCACAATTCTGATTACATACCAAATTAAATGAAAACAATCAAATTTTCCCAAAAGGTCATTGAACCTAACCACTGAATTTTAGTTGGTCTCATCCAATTCACTTTGCAACCAGAATGGTGGAAAGAATTAAGTTTGTGAACCAAAGTGTCCCTGTATTTTTTGTCCGGTCTTCTGTCAAAATGTTTGATTTGTAAGGACTGTGTTACAAATGTTAACTCTCAGCCTGGGAATAAATATAGCTCAGCGACACAGGCACCTCCCTGGCAAGCGCAAGGTCCTGGGTTTGATTCCTAGAACTAAAAAAAAGAAATGTTAACTCTCATATTCACTGTAAATATTTTTTCATACTATATATAAAATACAGTACAAAGAGAAGAGATTAAATTGTTTTTGTTTTTGCCGTACAGGAAGATTTTATTATGTAGCCAAATTTAGCATTCTTTTTGTATGTGTGTGTCTTTTTCAGACAAGGTCTCACTATGCAGTTCAAGCTGCCTTGAGCTTACTTTGTAGCCCATGCTGGTCTTGTACTCACAGCAATCTTGTTACCTCAGCCTACCAAGTACTAGGATTATAGGCATGAACCGCCACACTCTGGTTTTTACAATAGTTTTAGAGTAAGTTTTGTAATAATGTATAAAGTCCCCAAAAGAATCTGTTAGGCTTTTGATTAAAGTAACATTATTAAAGTATTATAACAGAAAAGTTACCTCAATATCTTTATCCTTCTCTTACTATTTTTTTAGACATCTCAGAGTCACCAGTACCCAGCACTGTCCCAATTCCCTCTGCATCAAATCAACAAAAAGAAAAGAAGAAGAAGAAGAAGAAGAAGAAAAATGATCCTTCAAAGGGTAGATGGGTAGAAGGTATAACCTCTGAGGGTCACCATTACTATTATGATCTTATCACAGGAGGTAAGTCATTTAAGCACAGAACTAGTAGAAAATAACTTTATTAGTCAAACAGAACTGTTTTGTTTAGGATTTTTATTTAATATTGGATATTTTAAACAAATATAACAGCATCTTTTCATTTTTACCAAAAGTTTATGTGCTCTTTGTTTTTATTTTTTATTATTTATTTATTTATTTATTTTTGCAGTATGGGGGATTTAACTCAGGACCCTGCACTTGCCAAGCAAATGCTTATTCTACTGAGCTTTCTCCCTGGCCCCCATATGTGCCCTTTAGGACAATACCCTTTTCATTATGGCTTAATGTCTAATAAGTTTTAATAATGACTTCCTTCCAATTAACCAAAGCTTTGTATTTTTTCAGTGATATCTCCTGAAAGTATGAACTAGTGTAAATAAAGCATTTTCATTGACATAAGTTGTCTCACTCCCACTCCATTAATTGTAAAAGTTCATTTTATATCCATATGAAGGTTGTGAGCCAGAAACTGATCTCTTTATATGTAGTTATCTTGATTGACATAGTAAATTTGTCCTTTATATTATTAAGTACTAGTTTCAGTTATTTACGTAATATTTTTCAGGAATATCAAAAATACCTTCATATTCCCTACAAATTAAAAACAGTTGGAGTTATTATTCCATATGGAAGTTTAGGGAAAATAAATTATCTTACTCTCCAGAAACATGAAATTTAGTGGCAGAAATAAGTGAGTTTGTCACAAGGAAAAATTTTAAAGTGCTATATAGAAATGTAAGATTATATAATTGCTAGAAATGAGACATTGTGCTTATGTGAATCTGAAAGATTATCACAGATTAAAGCTGATCTCTAACCTTATCAGGCAAAGTAGTACACACCTGTAATCCCAGCTGCTCTAGAGGCTGAGGCAGGATTGCAACTTCAGGGCCAGTCTGGACAACTTATGGCCCAGTGAGGGCTAGCCTGTCTCAAACTGGGGTATGGAGTGGAGGGGCAGCCATACTGTTCCCTGGCTCAAAAGGAACACAGAATAAGAACTTTTTTTTTTTTTTTTTTTTCAAACCGGGGATTGAACTCCGGCCCCTGCGCTTGCCAGGAAAGGGCTTATGCTACCAACCCATCTCCCTAGCCCCTAGGGAGAAACATCTTTTTTTTTTTTTTTTTTTAGAACCAGGGATTGAACTCAGACCCTTGCCCTTGCCAGGGAAGCACTTATTCCACTGAGCCATCTCCCCTGCCCCAGAATTTAACATTTTTATCCCTAACATCTAACACAATGCCTGACACAATACAAACATTCTGCGAGTATTTTGATTAAGATCTCTGACCGGTCAGAACAACATGACTGAAAAATAAATTTGAAAGTGAGAAACTTAGAAAATTAATGAGTGGGAATAAAATACAAGGTTCTTTAAAGCTATCAGTACAGAAATGTGAGACTGAAAAAATAGGTTGGGGTGATATTGTGGGAAACTGGGAGAAAGATGGTATAATTTGTTAGGATAGGAAATACAGGAAGCAGAAATAAGTTTGGGGGAAATAATGAATTCACTTTTGTAGATGTTCAATTTGAGGTACCTGTAGAACATGTGGCAATTTGCAGTAGCTAATTGAGTGTCTGGAGTTAGGATTGTTAAATAGAGTGGGATACAAATAATGTTCTGAATCTCAGTAAGTATATGTGATTGCAGAGACTAGAGCAAGAAGGAAAGAAGGTGAGTAGTACACATATTTGAAAGAAATGGGTAGGAAGAAAGCCAACAATAAAGCATGGTCAAGGAAGTAGACATGCTGGCACGCACTGTAATCCCAAGCACTCTGGCATCTAAGGCAGGAGAATTATGAATTTGAGGCTAGCCTGGACTACATACAGCAAGATCATCACAAAAAAATAAAAATAAAAAGATAGGAAATTAGATGAGAAATTAATAGAAAAACCTTGAGAAGACAATATTGTTTAATTATTAGAATACTCTTTAAAATCAAATCAGTTTTGGACTGCAAAGAAAGTAACAATTTGCTTGAACTAAGCTTTAAGTGAAATGTATGTTGTAGCTCAGTAATGAAGATATCCATAAATATGTACTAGGGAAGAGAAATTTTTCTCAAACATACTTAGAACTATTTCTTTTTTCCCTTCTAGTATTTCCTTCACCATCCTACTTATGTACTCTGGCCTCCAGCAATTTTGTTAATTGCCCGCATACTTTATCTTATTCTTTTTACAAGTCATTCTCATTCCAACTCTCCCTTACCCTAAGGTAACAGAAAAGTCCTTCCCTTCCTTCAAAATTTACCAGGCCTAAATTCCAATGAACTCATTGAAAGAAGACCTACCTCACTCTCATAATTCTATAGAAGTCCTAGTAACTTCTTATCCTTTATTCTGTTATTTCTTGGTTCTATAGCATTCACCTGTATTCTTCTGCACAATACTGCTGGGATGTTTGTTTGCTTTTCAGTTATTTGTTACACTGGCATTTCTATAATTTTTTGCCAAATGTAATAATTTTCAGGTTTTTCCTTAAGCAAAATCATTTTTATAAATACCCTGTGTTTTGCTTTTAGCATCTCAGTGGGAGAAACCTGAAGGATTTCAAGGAAATTTAAAAAAGGTAATGGGTACATTGATAGTGTTTTAGCGTTATTTTTTTAAATGATTGGTTTCTGGGCTTGCAAGTAAGCAGATTTACTTCCAAGTAAGCTCCTCCCCCTTCCTTTCTTCCCCTAGTCCTTTTGTCAGAAGATTGGGTAGAGATGAAACACTGGTAACTGTTCAAAAGCTCCATCCATGTAAATACTAAATGGTTTGTAGTAGTTGCCATCCAGATGTTCCTGACCGTCTAGAAGGGATTCCTGGCTTTCAAAAGTGATACATTTTCTACTTGAATATCAGCACATGATTATCACAAACCAGATTTCCTAGTCAAGACTGGTATCACCATCCCCAATTTCCAGATGTCAGATGGAAAGGAATGGGTAGCTTAGTTATTCAGTATGTAATCATTATCTTCTGTTCATTCTGATTCTTTTTCCTATTAGACAACAAGGGAAATTTGGATAGAAGGTTTAAATGAAGATGGTTATAGTTATTACTATAATACAGAAACAGGAGGTAAGTGTTATCTTCGACTATGTTAATTACTTAAATTATCTCAGAAACTGCTTGTTAATCTGGTAAATTATCTAAACATGAGAATATATGATTCTATAGCAAGCATATATTATTTTTGTAAGTTAAAAATATTAATGCAAGGCTAGGGAGATAGCTCAGCAGCCTAAGTGCCTGCCTGGCAAGCGCAAGGACCCAGATTTGATCCCTGGTACTGCATGCCATGCCAGGCACGCCATGTCGGCCACAGAAACTGGGTGTGGTGGTGCACACCTGAGAGGCTAAGACAGGAAGATCACTGAGTCTAAGCTGCGTAGCCATACCCTGCACCAAATGAATGGGAATGAGAAATAAAAGGGCCAGTGAGATAGCTCACCAGACTAAACACCTGCTTAGGTAAGCACAGGAACTGCGGCATCACATTCTACATCAGTCCTGCCTCTGGATATGCAGAGCCAGCAGAGTCTGGGTGAGATGGCACCTGTAATCCCAGCACAGGGAAGGCTGAAACCAGGAGGATCACTAAGAATCTGAGTTGCCTCGTAAGACCCTACACCAAATCCATTTTAAAAAAAGAAAACATTAAGGCAGCAGAAAAGCAAAAAGATTTATCATATTCTGTGATATGCAGCCATAGTGTTCTTAATATAGCACATGCAAATTTGAAGCATTTTGAATAATTAACTGATTTTACTATGATTATTTTATAAATATTTTCTTAGAAGGTACCTCATAGATCACCTAATTCAGCTTTTTTCCTTTGGTTTTAGAGATTAAGCTTAGAGCCTCATGCTTGTTCTGTCACTGAGCTATATCCCACAAAGCTTCAGCTTTCTTTTTCCTTTTTTAAAAGCCAAAACTGAAGGTACATTAGCCATGGCTAAAATTGTCAAATTTCTACTTTGAATAATGTTTCAGTTGCATACATAATTCCTACCTTCCAGTACCCTCTATATAACATTAAACATAGCAGTGTTTCTGTGTAATAGTACCTGTTACATTGTAGGTGTTTGTCTTGAAAATTGTTTTTGTTACTTGAATGAAATTTAGATAAGGAAAAGTAGTATTTTTATTAGTTAAGGGTCTATACATACTGAACAATTTCAGCTTATGCTTGTAGCAGGGTTGTTATTATTATTATTATTATTATTATTATTACTGAAACTCTGTACCAAATACTTTATTTTTATTTTTTTGGCAATTTATTTATTTATTTTATTTTTTCAAACCAAATTGGTAGGACAGTTTCAATAATTAACACATTGCATACATTCTTCCTAGCAGGGTAATTATTAATGGCAGTTGATTTTACTCTTAAAACTATCTCAGGTCGAGCAATGGCCGTGACTCATCTTCATGTCTGACACTGACAAAAGGATGTACAAAGGGTGGTACAGGGCTACAGGATAAATCCTGAGAGTACTTGGCTGACCTTATCAGATATAAAAGTTACATTTCTTGTTATATAGGTCTTGCTATATCTTAGTCTTAACCATCCAGTAGAAAAGTATAAAAACGAGGTATATAAAGTAAATCCCTATTAGTACGATGAGCTGTAAAAGGCTCAAGTCAATAACTTCTGAGGATAGCCCACTAATATTATAGACTGCTAGATAGTGTTAGATTGTTTAGTTGAATTCAAACACCTATAGTATTTAGATGCCAATAGAATATTCACCTCTGACAGGACAAAAAAAAAAAGATACAAAGGAATTTTGTATCTAAGATATTTATATATACAAAATAGGATAAATTTACAGCTACTTTTGCTTAATTCAATGAGAAGAAACAGGTGTACTAAGAGTGTTTGGACAGAATATCCTATCTACTTCTTGTACTGTGGATAACCACTAAGATTATAACAGTGTACAGTGTATTGATTATCAAAACTGTCCTATTAATCAGCTGTGAAACTGTCTCATTCGTATATCTCAATAAAAAATAAAATAAAAAAATAAAAAGAAACTCTCTCAGCTGGATAGTAAATTGTGTAGCCTTCCTTTTATTAAGCTAAAAATAGAGTTATCTACAGGACAAATGGGCATGCTTTTGTTTTACAGCACCTGCTTAAGATCCTGAGTTCAGTTCACATTGTATTGAACCACTAGATGGCAGTAGAGTTCAATCAAGGTTTATTTCCCCAATAAGAAATGACAAATTATACTTATTCAGATCTTCATGTTATGATCACACTTTGTGAAACTTCTAGAAAAATTTTCATTATAGTGAAGTCCAGGAAATCTCACTGTTCTCATTGTGTTTCCTGAAATTAATGTCAGGTAAATTGTGAGAGTCCTTAAAATAGCACCCCGTTCTTATATCCCTCAATTGGAGTTATAGCTTGCAGTAAATCTGGGTTTGTAAATTGAAATCAGTTTCTGAACGATATAAGAGCCAGACGTTTGAGAGCCATTATTAATTTTTTTGATCGAGTGTGAAGTGAATACAGTATTTCAGAGGTCACACAAGTATAGGTCATGTGCAAATGAGAGAAACACCTATTATATTACTTAAATGCAAAAATACACACTAACCAAACTATTTAGTATTAGTGATATACAAATGCAAAGCTAATCATGACCTTTAATCTGTGTACTTGTTATTTGTAACAAAAAATGTGTGTGTCAGATCAGTAACCTCCTAGGGGTTAACAATTATAAATGAGAGAAAATATTAGGATTAGGTCTAGGGTAGTGGTACTTGTAATCCTAATATTCAGGAAGCTGAAGTAAGAGAATCACCATGAGTTCAAGGTCAGCCTGGGCTAAGAAAGAATTCAAGGCCTAAACTACATAGTGAGACATTGTCTCAAAAAAAAGTGTTAGAATTGATAAGTAAATAGCATATTATTGCCGTATCTAGATGTCCATCCCCCCCTCCCCAAGCTTCACACAGTCATAGGTGGGGCTTTTTCAGAAGTGGCTGTCTCTAGGGTGTGTGATACTGGGATCAATTCATGGTACAATGCTAGGATCAAGGGCATGAAGATTAAAAGTTTGACTGCTACCTGCCCTAGGTAGCCTGGGTAAGATATAAGGGATGCAAAGATACCTTGTTGCTTCACTACCTTTTGCCCTGCCCTCCATGAACTATTCTTGTGTAATACCTGCTGCCATGCTACTATGCCGTGGAGTCAGACAGTTATGGACTGAAACCTCTACAGACTATGATCTAAATAATAAGTCTTTCTTCCTTTAGGATTGAGTATTTTGTTTCAGCAATGAGAAAAGGAACTAATACATAGCATGGTTTAAAATGTGTCGAGCAGGATCGATATGGGAAAAACCTGTCTCAGATTAGCAACCCCTTAAGGGTTAATAATTATAAATTGATGGAAAATATTCAGATTGGTAAATAAGTAACATGACTGTTAAAAAATGTGTTGAGCAGAATCCAAATGGGAAAAACCTGATGATTTCATCCCACACACTGGCAATATGCTTTCTAATAAGGTCAATGAAAAGTCACTTGGCACCCTAGAAGAATCTGAGTCATCAGATAGTGAATCTGATGGAAAGCAAGACTCAAAAAGAGAAGTTGATGCAGAAACAAAACAGCTAAAAATAAGTTTCAAGGTAGGTTCTTGATTTGCTTACCACAAAAATTTATCAGTTTGTAAAAAATCTCTAAAGACCTGCAGTCTTCTGGTGTAAGATAGAAATAAAGCCAGGACATGTTTAGTATTTCCCTCCCCCATCATTGGTTTTGCTTTGCATGGATTTAATTACCCATGGTCAACCAAGATAAATGTGAAATGGAAAATTCCAGAAGCAGGGCTGGAGAGATGGCTCAGTGGTCTAAAGCACCTACTTGGAACAAGCTTGACAAAGCATAGGGACCGCGGTTCGAACCCCAGCACCACATACCAGCCAGCCCCACCCCCTGGCGGGCTGAGCTGGCCACACACACACACACACACACACACACACAATAAATAAAATGTTAAATAAATAAATAAATAAAAAAGAACTGGCAATTTAAAAAAAAAAGAAAATTCCAGAAGCAAATCATTCATAAGTTTTAAATTACATGGTTTTCAGAGTAGTATGATGAAATCTTAGTTTTATTTTTTCTATTTTATTAATATTAATCTCTTACTATGCCCAATTTTTATATTTATCACATTCTATACATGTATGTGTATAGAATCTATAGGTTTGGTACTATCTGGTTTTAAGCATCAACTGAGTATTTCATGTATTCCCAAAGATAAGATGGGCCTATTGTGTTTTGAAAACTGGATAGATGGTTGCACTGTTTACTGATATCTTTTTGAGAGACAAGATACTAATTTCATTTAGACTTTATAAGTTTGACTGTATGTTTTTCTTTTTAAATGCTTGACAAATGAAGCTTAAGAACAGGCAGACAAATGACTGGATAGATCTTTGTTTGGAAGTGTTTTTGGTCCTATGCAATAGACAAGCGTATGGACAGACTTTTTTGGGTGTTAGCAAAGGAATGCTTAAAGGTGATTCCTTTTAAAAGGATATAGTGTAGGAGACCAACAAACTCAAAATGCTAGGAGAAATTAGAAGTATTACAGGTAATAATGGGATTGGATAAGTATAGAAGTAAGGGAGTCAGCCAAAAGAATTAAGAACTACTGTACTTGGAGAGAGGACTTTAGCTTTTAAGATTTCATGGGTAGGGCATTTTGAGTGCTAACCTAGTTCAAATTACAGGAATGTAGGTGTAAGGATGTAGCATTGTGGTGCTATCTATGCACCAGGGGCTGTATAAGAGAAGAGACTTATACTAGATGGCTAAAGCATAGTAAAGGCCAAAGTAATTGGTTTTGAGACCAGGTAATTTTTAAACCTCCTATGATGATAGCAGGAGTTTGCATAGGGAGAAAAATTGTGCCAGTGTGCCAAAATCATGAGTAAATAGACAGTAATGGCCAGAGATCATTGATCATAAAAGGAAGAAAACAGTATAGAAAATGGTATGATTGTCAGAGGAGATCTGTAATGCATAAAGAGAGTAGAACATCATGACCTTGTACCTCAGTAAGAATGTTTTATTAAGAAAGCCATGCCCTAGAAGCAATCAGGGTTGCCAAAACAAAGTGGATGCTTCCCCTCTAGTTCTGTGATACCAGCCACACAGCTAACATAGTTTCAAAGATTTATCAAGGAAAGTATCTCAGACCAACTACTCATCATTGTACAGTTTGCAGAGAGGTTTAAGTCCAATTTATGGTCCACTTGCTAATCTGGGTTACAGTGTTTTGTTACTTTAGATGAACAGATGCCATAAAGCACCTGCCCCATTGAGGAACTTCAGTAGAAAATACTTCTACCCCAGGGACTATCTTTCTAATTTGCACAAAGTTGCTAGTTGTATAGGTCAGTGAGGCTTTGGCAGTGTTCTCAAAATGAAGGTGGATTTCAGTTAAGATTTACAGGTTCAAGGAGTTCTTTATGATAGGCATTAGCTGTAGAAGGGCCTGATGACATGGTATCAGATTCAAAAGAGGTATCATATAAAGAGAAGTCATTATTGGATATGTAACTTAACTAAGAAAACAAAAGGTCTTCTTACTTACATACCCTTAATTGTACATCTCATGGCATGAATTAGTTAATGGCCAGGATCTTGTTATATTATTTTAAAATGCACAGCATTGGACATAATAACATTTCAGATGTAATGAGAAAACCTAATCAAGGGGCTGGGGAGATAGCTCAATAGAATAAGCACTTGCCTGGCAAGTGTAAGGTCCTGAGTTCAATCCCCAGTTCCGAAAAACAAACAAACAAAAAAAAAAAAAACAATCAAACATTAAGGTTCTTCCAATATACATTATGTTATTGTATACAGATGTAAAGTACAGTATTTTGATAAATATATAACAAAACATTTAAAAGAAATTTTGTTTTTGTCATGGCAGTTTTGCTTGAAGTATATTCTTTCTTGACTTTTATATATCAGGAAAAAAAGAAAAATAGCAATGAAGAAATTGCCCCAAAAGTACAGAAAGAAAAAAGTGTCCAGAAGCAGAGTTCATCAGGTCCAAGTGAAGAAAAATCCAAAACTTTGAAAAAATCAAACCCATATGGAGAATGGCAAGAAATTAAGCAAGAAATTAGGTCTGAGTAAGTACTTGAAACTTTAACTCACCATCATTACAAAGGTTATATACCTTAGACCTTTCATAACTTGTAGTCACTGATTTCAAATGTACTGTAATAATGACACAGTGTTTTTTTGTTTTTGTTTTTGTTTTGGCAGAACCAGGGATTGAACTCAGGCCCTTACATTTGCCTGGGAAGCGCTTATTCTACTGAGCCATCTCCCTGGCCCCTATTAATTTATTATTAAATATTTTTTAAAATAAGGCAGTAGCTACTTTGAAAAGTAATCTAATGATTTAATAAAGGTAAGCTAAAATAAGCTTAGTTCCTATGAAAGCTTGACTATTAGATAAATTTAAATTTTTATTGGCATATGTTAGCACTACGTGATTAAATTTTTTGTGGGAAATTGGTACATCCTGCCTCCTTTCCTTACCCCTTTCCCCTTCATCTCTTAGTCTTCTTTCCTATTGAAAAACATTTGCTTACATCCTATTATGTTTTGTTTTGATATTTATTTATAATTTGGGTTTCTCATATAAGAGAAACCATACAATATTTATTTCACTTAATATGGCCTCCAGGTGCATCCATTTTCCTTACAGATGACTCAAGTTTATCCTTCCTTATGGTAGAGTATTTTTACACAAAGGCTACTTCCCAAGATTTAGCTGTTAGGAGTTGTGCTCCTATAAGCATGGATGTGTTTGTATCAATATAATGTAATGTCTTTAACTCTTTTGGAGAGATATCTAGAAAGAGAATAGCTGAATCAAATGGAATATCCAATTTTAGTGTTTTGAAGAATCTCCATACTGATTTCCATAGTGATTGTACTCATTTACATGTCTACCAGCAATATAGAAGGATTCCTTTTTCCCTGAAGGCTTGCCAGTATTTTTTGGAGTTGCTGATGATAGTCATTCTTTCCAAAGTAAGGTAGAATCGCAGTATTGTTTTATATCTTTTTTTTACCCCCTGGTTCTAGGGATTGAACTCAGGACCTTGTGCTTCCCAGGCAATCAGTATTGTTTTAAGTTGTGTTTCTCTAAGGGCCAGTAATGAGCATATTTTCATATATTTACTGACCATTTATACTATTACTTCTGTGTAAGAAGTGTGTATTCATTTTAGTTATGAGGTGTCTTTTTTTTTTTTTTTTTTTTTTTTTTTT